AACAGACTTTTACTAATGATACTTGTCAAATAATCATTGCTAAACAATATTATATATTTTCACTAGGTGTTTAATATTAGGCAGTTGGTATATTACAGTTTTTACTGATAATGAAATCATAGTTGGATAAGTTTCAGTAGAAACCTATTACTTTTAGTGTCTTTCAAGTAAGGATTTGGGTGAAACTGAATGAAAACAACACATAACAAACTTATTGATTGATTGAGTGAAACCAAGTATAGTTTACATGAACACGGAGAGATATTTCAAAATTACGAAGCTACCTAAAGATTCATAAGTTTCAGTGGTTTGTGATGCAAATGATGCTGTGATCCCATTGTTTTTTATGTCTCTTACAAGTTCAATGAATCGGTATTACCTGTCACTGTTTATTAATATTTCACAATACAGAAAGCATGGTGTATTCAAGACACTGTATTATGAAAATATGGACAGTTTGCTTTAATATCAAAACTAATAATCTATGGAGTTCTTTAACGTTTAAATCCACTGAAAACGAGGAAACACTGAATATTTATTCCGTCCTTGTGAAATTTAAACATATCGAAAGTAAAGCATTTACCCTCTGAAAACAATAGATGATTGGGCAATATCGCGAATTGATGGAATTTAGACATGTACACAACTGCATGCTTACTTATACAAAGATTAAGCGTTCGCTGTAAGATCAAAAATGCTGAGTTGAGTCACTGGTGGGGTTGTGAATGTCCAACATCAAGAATTTCCATACTAGGACGAAACAGGTTTCATGTGCTTACTGACTTTCGGTAGATGTTTAAATTAGGTTAATCCATGATTTCAAAAACCTCAGGATGGGAGATTTCCCTGTATACATATCATTTATGGAACACCATAAAATCAGATTATTGTCATGAAAATAGATCATAATTGGAAGGTTATTAATAATATTTTTGAAGTATTTATGCATGCTACTATCAATAATAGTAAGGAACCTAAGATCTTCATTTGAAAACTGAGAGATTATGTCTTAAAAGATTGAATTTAATAAACCTCAATCCAAAATTATTTCTATTGAGATCTGATAGTCTATGAATACAAGTTTATTTCATGAGTTATGAATAAGCACTATGATCTATATTATTTCTAAACAAATAAGACTTCATAAATCAAAATAACCAATGATTTTCATTGAATAAAAATAAAGAGAATTAAGAGAAAAATGTTTCCTTCACTAAAAAGTCATTTATATTAGCCGTACTTTATTATTCAGAAATCTTGGTAAATGAATGAAGTTTACGTTACTGAGGAAGTTCTCTGTGGTTTGACTTGACGAAATATTTGATTGTTAAAATAAATGGATAGAATGCTAATTTATGGATGAACGCAAAATGTGGTCGAGTGATGGATGTTTGTAAGAATACATTATCGGCTCAGGCTCCGGAGTGATTTCTAATCAGTAGCTAGATTACTAGCCATATGAATAGTTTTCATGAAAGAGAGTAACCTACTTATACACAAAATATGAACATTAGGATTTGGCGACAGTATAAATGAACCAACGATAATAAAAGTAGTAAATCTAGAATTTCGACAAGAAATTCACTTATCCATATGGCTAAATAGTATGTCGGCATAGTAAATGATGTCATTTTACGACGAAAATCCAAATTGTAATTCTTAACCCCAACTACTAACTGCTAATCTTAAACTTAATTATCCATACTAATTGAGAAACCCCTTTTGACCATAGTAATTAAATGAATATTGTCCAGGTCAATTGAACCCTGTTTAAAAGTTGTCCATAAATGGTAATCACATTCAAGATTTTAATCTACAAAGTCTTTGGTTGTAAATATGATTTCATTAATTCTAACATGCATATTGCAGTGATATATATTGTGACTTAAATGGATGAATATTTATTGTTGCCATACGTTGCCATACTATTCGTATGATAAGAATTACTGATTTAAAAATAAATCCTATCATTTCATTTCTATTCTATTCTCGTTTTATTTAAATCATTATATTTTCTCAAAAATTCATCTTTTCAAGGAATTTATTAGAATTTGGTTGATTGACATTGATGAATTGTAATAATTTGAAAAGATATTTAATTACTGGGCAGAGCTCTTGATACAGTTGGATAGTCTTGTTCGATTCACAATCATTCTTCTTCATTTTTACTAGACTAATGTCTAACCAAGAGGTGTTGCAGCATAAGATTACTAGGTGGCAGAAAACTATGCAGATGACCCTGAACAAGTTAAGACAATCGTCAAATGGCGTTCACTGAAAGAACAGTTTATCATAAAGAAGTATGATATTTACATATGATTATAATGATTAGTAAGTTATTTAACATAATAGATCAAATAAAGGATAAATTAAGGGATTAACTTGGGGTGATAGGAGTTAGATTCAGGATTGAAGAATATTTTTCAAACGTAATGATAAATACTCATAACTATATTTATTTAATTTCAAAATTTTAATCACATTTATTTAGTATTGAAGAGGTCAGAAATCATGTTGAAATTTTATATATATCTTATTTCGATTTGCTTATTAATGTTTTTCCCATGAAAATCAAATCACTTTCTCATATTCGATTTCATTAGCATTTTTTAATTTTTCGTTCATTAATTGGAAATCTCAGTTAATAGATATTATTAGGTTTCATCTAGTTCTTACTTAATTACACATTTTTAAATTTATCCACAGTCGGATATGGAATTTCGCCCAAGTATCTAAGATCAACTACCTTTAACCCAGTTAGTTTGGTGGTAATGTTTGCGTGTCCCAGTCCCTTACTTTCTGACATCTCAAATTGTATATTGACTGTTAGAACTAAATGTTGACAATATTTATAACATATTTAGTGTCGATTAAGGCTTTGTTGCTTCCGAAAACTTAATTACTCTTGAAAGTGTTGGTTTGTGAAAAAAACATATTTATTTTGCATTGTGAATAAGCATTTTGTTGATAGCTTATAATCGACATGACCTCTTCTGAAGTATTTAAAAAATTAAGGAGCAAAAACCTTTAAATGGTATACATAACTTTGTGCATAGATCTCTTATTAGTATTGGTTGTAACATCAATAACAATCACTATGCATGGGTTTGAAGAATTGACTTGAACAATATGTCGAAAATTTAGCTTGAAGTAAATCACAGACCATTTAATATTTACCCAAGTGATACTTGACCTGTGAAAACAGATGAATTGAATGTTGCAGTATAATAGCTAGTCAAATAAGATGTTCTTTATCCATTATGCAAGTGAATCAACTTTTAATTTATAAGATGATTCTGGAACAAGTAAATTCAAATTAAATATTATACAAGCATTAAACACTATAGGTACATTTTCCTTGTTTCTACATGACGTACGTAACATCAGTGAACCACAGGTTTAATTGAAGGGTACGAACATAAAGTAACTGTCACAAGTTATTTTTCAAATCTTGTGATTAATTTATTTATATGTGCTATGTTAAATTAGCGATAGAATAAATGCAGACACCGGTTGTCAGTTTAAACTTTATTGGGCTTTATTAGTCAAACTTTAACATGTAGTAGTTAGATAAAATGTTCAAAACTATTTTAACTATTAACTAGTAAGCAATAGATTCTAGCTTACTTTCTTTTACCGTAATTTTGGCTTTCATTGTCAAATACATCTATCCGTCTAATCGAAACCGAATATTGTTCAGCAAACATAAAATATGATCACATAATAAATATAAGTATTCATGGTAAACATTATTAAATTTTATGTTCTTGACAATGATACTGAAATGTAGATTATGACTGATTTTCTTATTTGTTTTATTTCGGAGAATATCACATTTGTCTTTCTCACAAAAGTACAGATTCCAGGTAAACACTTGACTACAAAATCAAATTATCATATCAACGTTTACTAATTCTTACTAATCAGACAAAATTTAACGATAAGTAACAAACTGAAATATGATTCTAATATTATGTCAACCTGGATGAGTTGGTGTATTTACTGTTTCAAATAAAATGTATTCGAAATAGATACTCATATTCGATATATAAGTATTTGTTCTGTGCTGAATCCTTGAATTAAACACATTTCGACAACAATTCTTTAATATGAATGGTTTTTAAACTAAAAATGAGAAATATTCACCTTTTTATTCAGCGGTCTATAAGTTGTGTAGTCAATATGAAGTTTGAAAGTTGTAGATTTAAATCCTTGAAAGTGTTTATAACGAATGAGTTACTGAATCAATCTCCGATTTTTCATTGATTCTTCAGTTATTATTATACCATTGACAAAAATTAATCTCGGAACCGTTATGAATAAAGTCATCAACAAGAAAGACAATTCTGTGTACTTTCGAAGAAATCCAGCAAATAGGCAACTAAGAAACATGTTTACTTAATGACCAAAACACTCACAACACATTCGTTTAGTGTTAGACATTATGAACATTAATACATAAGTACTCAAATTGTTTAATGACAATAAAATGAGAAGCAAAAAATACACTTGAAAAATCAATTCTATTCATCATTGTTTATTTCAAATGAGAAAACAAAAATCGAAACAGACAAAATAAAACAACAATAATGATGCTCAATAACTAATATTCAATTAAAAAAAAAGAAATAATGACTTTAGAAAAAAATTACATTTATCAATTAAGTTGCTGATTACAAAATTATGGAAATACTTATTTTGTATTTTTTTTTAAAAAATGATATGTGTATTTGAATATTTTTAGTCAGTAGTATATTTTCTTGTAAACAAAAATGTTTATATGTAGAAATTTATTTAATCCATAATTTTAAATTCCCGCTTGTTAATTTGATCAATTCATATTTAAAATAAGTCTATATTTCTTTGACAACATTTACTCTGTTCAATTATGTAAGCTAAAATATTCGAATATATTTATGCATTGTAATATAAAAAGAAAATTGATTATTTATGTTCTTTTTTTAAAAAAAAATTTATTTTAAACTATCACAATACTTTGTTTATGGATTTAATAATTTAATACAATCTCGTAAACGATCCACTTCAAGATTGATATGATCTAAACTACTTTCCAAACATGTCTAGAATGTTTTTGTTGTTGAAAGAAAAATGACAAAAAAAGAATAGACGAACAGAATATTAACATGATGATTAATAAAACAAAGAAAAAAAAAGAAAACATGAAATTTATACATTTTATCAGTTGCTAATAAACATATGATTATTTACAGTCAAATATATTTAAATAACCAAAATGTAAACAAAAATGTGTCTGTTTATAGTCGGCTAAAATACCCAGGTAGATTGTGAATGAATACTGATAATATTCAAAGTATTGATCTAATATATTATTAACTTCACTGTGAGATCTGAGACTAGTTATTAATACTGAATGCACCGAGTACTGAAAAATTTAAAATTATTATAATTTTTTTTCGACGAAACTTGTTAATCACCAACAAAGAAATGTTGAAAGTTTTCACATTAAATACATAAATTGATATAAACATAATTATTTATATAAACTATAATGGATAGAAACATAGTTTCTTTGCGTGAATACTACTATTAGACACTCAGTAGTTAAAGATAAACGTGTGCACGGCTAAATGCTAAAAAAAAACAAAAGTAATACATACGCATGCTTCTTACCTATAGTAATTTTCCGTAGCCGCAGAATTTAGTTTGTTGACTGAATTTGGGAACCTGATTAAAAATTTGTTTCATTGAACGTCTTTTTATATTCTACATAAATTACAATTATATGGCATAAAAAAGTTCATAGAAATAATCTGATCAGTGGTCTTTTTTATTGTTTACATACTTTGATTTGATAGTAAGTAGTCCAACTTTATCATTGGTTAGACTAGAACTCATTTGCATTCTAACTATTATCGGAAAAATAACTTTCTAATATATTATTTTGATGACGTCTTCTAAACCGCAGAGGTATATTTGATAGTTTCTTAAATTTATCAGTGATTCATTCTTTTGATATTGAATGTGTTAGAGAACTTGTTTATGTTCTATGTCAATCTGTTTGATTACAAGAATCAGTAGTAGTATACCATAATGCTGAGGTAATAAAAATCAATATAGCAAGATTCTAAAATTAAGGCCAGTTTAGCATTCATTTTGAGAACCGCTTCGTTGAAAGTGAATTTATGTTGTAAAAATTACCTGATGTAGAAAGAAGTCACTACATTCAGAGGAGTTCTGAATTAAACTGAATTCAAACGACTGCTTAATAATAATTCAAATTTTTGTCTTTTCTTTCTGTCAAAAAATCATTTCTTTATAAACATGTGAAATCTTAGTTTCTTTTTCATCGAATAAATACTTGAAACAAAAAAAACCTACTAACATAGTTTTTAAACCAATGTAACATAATTTCATATCGTTTCATTAACTATATCAAACATTTTATAAATTTTGTTACTCTTAACTATAAAATCTTAATTTTAAAGGTTAATGAGAGTCATTCAATAAAATGACTTTTATCATGAGTATCAATTCAAGTATGATACTTTAATATGATTTCAATCATTAATTAAAACTTTATCAAACCATTTATGTTTGTTATTTATCATTGGTGATGTATGGAAAATTTTTAATTAAGATTCATCAGCATTAGTAACAGATCACAAAATACGTTATACTTATTTTTTGTTTTTACAAACAGGTGACTCTGGAATATTCAACTATGATATTTTATACAAACTATTATTCATTGAATAAAGAATGTTTTTAAATTAAATTGTATTTTCAGAATGGGTTTAGTGGAGATTTCAGTAATTTTTAATAGTTGAAATCATGAGTCACCGTTGGATGTCAGCTCAGTAGTCTAGTGGTTAAGCGCTCGCGCGCAAGACTGATAGGTCTTGGGTTCGAATCTCGCGATGGGGGGGGGGGCAAAATCGTGGATGCGCAGTGCTGAGATGTCCCATACTAGGATGAAACGGCCGTCCAGTCGTTTCACGTTTTCCATGGTGGTCTAGTTTCAATTGACTCATGATTTCAACTATTTAAATTGTATTTATTGATGTTAAACTGTTTAGTTTTAAATTTGAAAAGTGGAAATATATTTGAATTCTTAATAAAATTCCTTATCTTAGAAACCTTAAGATTGATTCGACTTAAATAATTTGAACTTATGCTTAATCATAACTATTAGATAGGAAGTATAATCAATAATACGGGAATCAATGAAGCACAAACATTTATGTAATTAAGTTTCTATGAAATCGATAGTTAATAATTTGATGCAATACTTAGACACGATAATATATGTTGAATAAAACACTACGAACTCTATGATAATGATATCTAAGAAGAAATACACAATCGTTATGCACACAAAATATAGAGTTAATGATTTAGTGAAAGAGATAATGAAGTACTTTAAACTGTCATACTCCAAAAATCCAAGATTTTTGATCTTTGAACTATATAAATCAAAAATTATAAGTGTTAACAGTTTTTCGAACATACTCTAATCTCGAAGTATTGATGTGACATAGTACATATATAAATCGAAATATGAATAAACATACATATAACAAGTTGACTTGTTACAGATAATTGATTAAGTGTGTAGAAAACGAAATCGAGATTTCATAAAATATACTAGAAGCTATTTAGATACAAGTATGATGATTGTAGGTGAAACTACATCTAAAATTCAGAACAACGATGTAGCCAAGTAGCGAATGAGGTGTTAAAAGACTAGTATTTTGATATTTATTCGAATGAAATTCATATAAAAAGATCAGTGTGCATTAATCAATGAACAAAAATTAAAAATGGTGGATACTAGATAAAAACATTAATCGTCAGTTCATACTGCAACACTATTCTGCTTGTCACATATTCTTTAAACCGAGCTTAGGATAGCTGACGTGGTTCTGTGCTTTACTTCTTCTTGATGCTTGGATGAGACGTTACTTTAATAATCCAATACATAGAAGGTTTACGTTCAACCCACTAAAAAATAATCGTTGTTTTACTAGGTCCAAACAAATAATTATGAACGTTTCTTCAGATTATGTTTAAAAGTCTGAAGATACACAACTTAACATGTTTTCATTAATTATCTGTATCTTTATAAAACAAGTAGGAATTGTAATGTCCAGTTAAACTGTCATTACTTTGATTTAATATGTCAATCAGTATGAACGTTACGACGCGCAAACTAAATAACACGACAAATTTTTAATAAGTCACTGAAGTAAAATATACAAAAAGATTATTTAACTATTACATAAATAAATCAACGAAGTTGTCTAATGTCACATCCAGATTATGTGACAACAAGTAAGAAGCATTTTTAGTAAAATGAAAAGTTATCGACTGTAAATAAGGTATAATATTCCTATTATGTTTATCCGTTTTTCCATTTATTTCATTACAATACAGTACTAAGTTCATAGCCCATGAGACGTAATTAAATGAGTATATGCAACAACAGATGCACGAGAAGACGGACAGTTTGGCAGCAGCCTCAGCAGCAGTAGGTCTCAACAAACACAAAGCGAAAAGCAGGATTCTCCGATACAACACAGAATGCACCAATCCAATCACAATTGAAGATTTGGAAGATGTAAAACCCTTTACGTATTTGGGCAGCATGATTGATGAACAGGGTGAATCTGATGCAGATGTGAAGGCGCGGATCGGCAAAGCAAGAGCAGCATATTTACAACTGAAGAACATCTGGAACTCAAAGCAACTGTCAACCAACACCAAGGTCAGACTTTTCAATACAAATGTCGAGACAGTTCTACTGTATGGGGCAGAAACCTGGAGAACTACGAAAGACATCATCCAGAAAATACAGGTGTTTATTAACAGTTGTCTACGCAAAATACTTTGGATCCGTTGGCCAGACACAATCAGCAACAACCAACTGTGGGAGAGAACAAACCAGACCCCAGTGGAGGAAGAAATCAGGAAGGAGCGCTGAAGTGGATAGGACACACATTGAGGAGAGCACCGAACTGCGTCACAAGGCAGGCCCTCACATGGAATGCTCATTGCCAAAGGAGGAGTGGAAGAACAAAGAACACATTATGCCGAGAAATGGAGATAGACATGAGAAAAATGAACAAAAATTGGACAAAACTGGAAAGGAAGGCACAAGACAGAGTGGGTTGGCGAATGCTGGTCGGCGGCCTATGTTCCATTAGGAGTAACAGGCGTAAGTAAGTAAGTAACTGAAGTTGAGTTTTATTGCAAACAGACATTGGTTAGAAAACTGTATAAAGTCAGGGAGAATAGCATCAAAATTTTGAAACGACCAAAGACAGACCAGTACTGAAAACCTAGAAACACTGTACGACCATTTCCTTCTAGCGTGAGACTCCTCAGCAAGTTGTATCTACGGAATTGCAGGTGGGGGTTGAACCTCGCAAGTTCGGTCTTGAGAGCGGATGCCTAACATCTAGACCACTGAAACGGAACCCAACGGTGTTAATATCTAATGTCAGATGATTTATGAACTAGCACAATCATCCAGCATCGTCTTACTCAGATGACTGCCACATACCTTACGCAATTGAACTGCACTAGTCAAGGCTTCTTAAAGTGAATAGAACAACAACTGTGACACGTTCAAAGTGACCTTTCATAAGACCGTAGAGAATCAAGTAAACACATATACGTCAAATAAAACACAATGAATTCTTATCCACGAAATGTCATCTGAAGCCAATGAGTCAGGAAAAAAAGATCACGATCATCGATCACCATCAATATTCAATGAGATTTGATAGTCGTCCGAAATTTCTCGACTATACTAATCTCATTTTTCATTATCATTTCAGATAATCATCTTTATAAAATGATTAGAAAAATGAGTCATAACTTATTTCACATTTTGAATTATAGAGTATGAATATATATATATAAGCACTCACAGATTTTAGTACTAAAGGAAAACCTTCAATAGCAACTAGAAGTAACTTTTAAAAATAAATAGTCTTGATAATTCTGTTTCATCTCACAAGAAGTCATAACTGCAAACTTTCGAGGAGTCCAAAACTAAGATGAAACAATAATCAAATGGTGCACAACGAAAAAAATGTACTTTTAAACTGAATTGAATCTATACTGGACCGCCGTTTTTAGATTCACAATTACCACTTTGAATGCTCAAAAAACTATCTATTAAGCTAGAAAAACGGATTATTGTGAGAAATGAATTATACGAAAATGCTTTTTTTAACATTTTTATATCATGTTTTAATGATCAAATTAAAAACAAACTCTAGTTTTGATTCCCTTTCAAAAACATTTTATTGAATACAACTCATGTGCATTAGTTTACCACTGATTTCCGGCTTTTAGTGACAGTACAAGACTGTTGTACATGGAATTCTTTTAAAGGAAGCTTCTGGTTTACATTTAAAAAAAAATAAAATTTCCACTGTATAGATTTCATAAAGGAAAATATAAAACATGATAGCTTGAATATTGATTATAATATGTTTTCACTAAGTTGAAATTAACAGAACAAGACTAAAAATCATTTATTGTATGTTGGAAAACTATTAGCACAATAACACCAACAACAACTACAACTACTACTAATACTAATACTATTACTACTGTTAATACAACTACTAATACTGTTAATAAATGTAGTTATAATAGCTTCAGCTTTGGTATTTTACTACATTTTACCTTTTTTTTATAAGAAATATTCAATTCCTTGCATGATCGGCTTGAAACCAATTCATCCTTTCATGTTCATATTAATATCACCAATTAATTGTTAAAATTCAATTTTATTGTATAATTGATCATTCAGTTTATGAAAAAATTACGATTTTATCATTAATTATAAGCATTAACATCATCGTCATCATCATCATCATCACCACCATCGTGAATGTTAACATTCCCATTTTTCATGATAAATAATAATAAAATAATATTAAAGATAAATTACTCTTTTTTCAAAGAAAAAAATCAAACAACAAATACTGAACAGTAGTAAAAGAAACTGAAATGTGGGCTTTTTAATTAACATTTAAATTACATCACCGTTGATTTCATTGAATTAGATTTTGACTAATAAATTATTCAATAATTTCGTTTTCAATGTTCAATAAAGATATTATGCTATTACTAATCGATATCATTCATAAGAAGACCTTTCATAATTTATTTTAAACTATGATATTAATGCAGATATATATATATATATATATATATATATATATATATATATATATATATATATATAAGAAACCATATCACTTTTACCGCGAACAAAAATTACATTTGTCTTGAAATAAGGTAAGGTGAATAAATTAAGGAAAAATACTTGGAAAAGTATATGATACATATGATCATTGTATACAGATACAATCACTTTTCTGTATGCATTTTGCGAGAAATTCATGAAAATAACTACTTATTACATAACTAATAGTATAAATGCTCAAAATGATATTTTTTTCTATACTTTTTTATGGTTAATTGAAAATAGTGAACTAAGTGAAGAGATCAGGTCATGATAAACTATTTTAGGGGAAATGTAAGAAAAGTTGACAATTTTAATAGTATATATTGTATTCAAAGGTATCCCAATAAACTATCGTAAACTATAGTGGTAATTTATACATGACTGAAGCTTGCTTGACAAAAAATCTTTCATAACATCCTTAATACTCATATTCTGGACTATTTAGCTTGCAACAATGTGTCTTCACAAAACTGCCCATCCCATCGAATAACGTCAAAAAGGTGTTATATAAGCTTGATGTGACTTATTCTTTCTTTTACTATTTCACGTGTTGTTAGGTAACATTACGTTACAATGTGGAAATATAAGCGAGTTTTGGACTGTATTTGTCAAGAGGTGACTACCTGAAAATAGAGGAATTATCTTCGATAATTTTAATCATTTTTTAAAAAGTGAATTATCTAATAAACAGATTGGTATTCTTATAAATATCATTTCGTGTTTGATATCTTGCGTTTATTTAACATTCTGATTGTTAAAATAGGATTCTTATAAATTTTTATCAAAGTTTTGAAGTCATTCATTTTAGTTGCAAAGATATATGATGCCTAATCTTTTAAGAATAAATCTCATGAAAAAAACTTAGCAAATAGCTCAGTTTCATGGATGATACACTTATACACAACAAAATCTCTAATAACTAGATACAACGTTTAAAATGGCATTTTAAATATTCATATCCTATAAACTGAAAGGATAGATCAAAACAATATTCAATCAAGTGTTGAATCAAACAACTTTTCAATGTTCAATAAAATTATATTGTACAGTCGTCAAAAATCAAACTCAAATCTAGTTACACCATTACATAACTTATTGATTTGAATATAAATTACCACTGATCTAAAGAATAAATTTCAAAACTGAATATCTGTTTATCAATTAAATGTTTACTTATAATATCGTCTAACGTTTATTTTTTAAAGTATTATTACAGCTACTTCACTACACTTTATAAATATGACCTAACTAATGTTAGTTTACAATGATTGAGTAAAACTGAGCGTTTTTTTCTGAAAGAATTTCGTTTTTAATTCTATACGTAAACATTTATGAAGGGTATTTGGTTTTTCTGCAATTTTTACTATTTTCCATAAAAAGAAAAGAAATTTGAACTAAGAAGAACATTATGATTCAGTTAATAAATCTAATTATACTCTAACGGATTCCGCAATTACATCATAGAAATCTTCCATTCCTAATTTTGAAATGACTAGGAAACGACTGATTCACTCACGAGTAATCTTTTTGCAAAAGCATGTAAAGTTATCATGACGTTTCTATAATTTGTTTCAGTGACTTTTTGGTTTAATTGATTAAACTGATAAAAGTAATTGTTTTTATAAAATAAATCTTAATCTCACATTACCTTTTCTGGAATTTTTAAATGATGTGATGAATATGACTGGGGAAAGTAAATTCGTTCATATTCGTTATCCATGCGATTGCCATGACGTAAATAATTCGCATGTTGCATATCTCTTAAACGACGATCTGAATGTGAGTGAATAATGAGAGGTTGTCGATTTGCTTGACGATTCAGTTTTACAGTGGAGTAAGGTTTTGTACTTAAATTTTGACAAGATGTATAATAATCTCTTTCCAGTGATTTTAAACGTTTAGAATTATGTAAATGTCCAAAACTGGTACTTGGTCTAGCTGACGATGGTACAGGGTATAAATCGTACGACCTGTTTAGTGCGCATTCATCAAGATAACCAGAGACTGATGCTGGACGATGTCTATTAAATCGAAGGCTGTTAGTACTGAATACAGATGGCAATACAGGCTGATCAAAAACTGGGATAAAAAGAATTACGATACATGATTATGTCAAAGGATAGAATTCGAACAATTTTAAACCAAATAAAAATTAATATATGTCATCAGTGTACAGCATGCCTTTTCCCTTACTTTCCTATTGTTAGTCAGTTTAGATTTAAGTGTTATCGCTTGTTAACTTATAGAAAATAGCAAAAACAAACAGTCTGACCGATGACAGTGGATGGACCAATATTATCTGGGAAGCAACTTACAGTTAATAAAATCTCCAGTTTTCTACTCACTCGGATATTACTAGTATTTGTACTCAAAGGAACATTATGAAGTTTGCTTTGAGAACTATGTTGTATCCACAATTTATAGACTAAATCATTTTAATTACTTTTTACTAACAATCATACTACTTTTTGAGTAATATAGTAGAATAATCAATTACTGTAAATATTAAATGTTACAGATACATTTACAAAACAGAAAAAATGTGATTGTCCATTAGATTCTCAATCTAATTATAAATAATAAGCTCGAATGGCTCTTGAATTTTTTTAAGCATATTGCTGAAATTTCTGTTTGTAACTGGACTAATAAAAGTTAGTTCTCGCTAATACACCCTCTCCTTTCATTTAGAGTGCCTAAAAACTCCGCAATAATAACTCATAATATATATGGTCAATTTCACAGGTTTCTCAAACTTTCACGGGAATAATCAATAGAGATAGCCTTTACTTAAATTCTATCCAGCTTCTTAAAGTAGCATAAATGTTGGTTAAATTTCAAGGAGTGCTTTTAGCAAATAAAATTTCATTTAACGTCTTTAAACTTACTTTTCTTATATGAATACTTTTTATGTGAATGACTGGTATGAACTGTTCTTCGTTTTTTTTCAGTTGATGGTGATCGCCCAACAACAACTTGTACTTGAGATCTATGTTTTAATGATTCATCTTCAGTTGATAAAGCATCCTTTTTTATTGACTTAAGATGTTGATTAGGCGAATATTGATAATCGGATGCAATACTCCATTTTCTATGGTAATTATTTGTTGAATCTCTTGGTTGTATCTCAATATCCATATCATCTTGCCTAGTTAAATTATTTAAATCTACTAAAGTATCCGATAAATCATCCATACTTTTTTCAACTGATCGATGCTGTATTAAATGTTCTGATTGATGATGAATCTGTTCATCATTGCCAATTGTTGTTGGTGACAAATCAATATTTTGATCATCAAGTGAATCTTTATGATCCTGTGTATTGATATTATTTTCACTTATTTTTGTAGTTATTAAAGAGTCTGACATGTTTTTGTTGGACAAATAGCTTTGTTTTTTACCATCTAATAATTCTACTGATCCACAGACTTTGAATGAATCCGATTTTTGTGGTATATACGTATCAGAATCATCTAAATTTTGATTAATACCAATTAGAGTGTTTTTGTTCTGTCTTTCATCTATTGATGCAGTCATTGTGTATATCTTTTGGTTTCTATCTAATGAACCGAAGTCACTTAGTACATATTCAGATTCATCACCAAGTTGGGTATGAAGTCGACTTATGGGTTCATCTTTATGAGATGAGTGTCTGACAATAAATTGGAGTGAAGAAAAAACTAAATGAATTGAACAGACCAAAAATAAAATTACACGAAAATGTCAAATTCCAGTATTTTTCACATATACCAATTACAAACGACTCTTACAGAATATGAGCGATGATGTGTTACATGAACAATTATTTCTATTATATATCGATTTATCCTTTATTATATAATATATTAAAATGACACTTGCTAATACGTTTAGAATTTATGTTAATTTAGATACTATGGGATAAGTAACATATAGACAGTGAGCTAAAATCCAGATTCATCTGAATTTATTCCTTGCTTTACCGTTTTTCTGATTTAAAAGAGCTATAAAACTCCCAAGAAAGACTGTAATGTTGTCCTGATACCGTAAGTAATGATTAATGTTATCTGAACTATATTCCATTGATAGGTTACTTTCTTTGAACAATTACCAGTATGTTCCATATACGTTATTTTCAACTTTACAAACAAGGTACACATAAAACGCTGTGGGGAATAATCCCCAAAATTTAGAAACCTTAATTGTTGATTACCAGAAAATTAGTTATGATCAATAATTTTTTCGAACTGTTTTACATTTATGAAATTAATCCAAATGTTCCAATTTACACTGAGCTGAGAATTAGAAAAAGTGGCTTTACTTACAATGTTATACAGGAATGTTTTATCATTTATACAAATTCGGTGTTTAAAAAAATTAGACAGATTAAGATTTAGATTGATTAAGTGATACCGTTAATGGTAGTTTGTAGTAGACTTAAAATTATAAAGTATCGGCTGACGTAAAAGCTCATATATTTCTTAACCGCCTGTCAAACCACTTTTACAACACGCCTACTTAACTTAGCAAGCCTTGCTCAAATTATCTGTATTTACATTTCAAAATTTGTTTGTATGTGAGGAATGAATATTTTAACACTTGATAACAAGTATCCACAACAGTCTGTGATGTTAACCAAAAAAAAAACAATCTAATATTGAAAGTAGTAGTTACTGCACAGATATAAAGAGACTAATATAAACCAAAGTGAAATATATTGATTATTTCTGATATAAACAAACATACAAGAATTGATTTTATTATTATAATATTCATTTATTTATATCAATAAAATTAATTATTCTTACTTTTGCCGATATGTGTATTCTGCTCGATTTTTTAATTTATGCAAAGTTGATTCTAAATGTATAATTTTTCTAGAAAGTTCATTTTTTTCTAATAATAAATTTTGTAATTGACGATCTTTTTTGGCATGAGCTCGTTCTAAAATTCTTATATCTCTTGATAATGTATTATATTCATCTTCAACACGTTGAAGTAAATTTGATAAGTTTTGTTCTCTTGTTTCTGATTCTCGTAGCTAAATTTTAATAAAATAGTAAAAAAAATTCAATTAGAATTTCTAGTTTTAAACAGTTAATTAATTGATAAGTACAGATATTTACAATAACATGATTGTTATAATGAGATCTTTTTTATTACAAATAGAAGGAAGACAATTAATACGTTTCTTTAAGTATGTAGCAATCATGTTAGTCAAGTGTTTATTTGGAATAGAGTATTTCGATCTTGAAACATTTGTAAATCTTTTGCATAAAGTAACTTATTGTTAAATCAATGGCAGACTCTATCAAGCTAATCTTATTCAAAATCTAATCACTAATCAGAAACCAGGAAACCTCTGAAAATGTATATCTTGAAATATATTTTACTCTTTCATTTTATCGTGGAATAAACGTTTCTCAATCATCAAATTCTTTTTCTGTATCTATCTATTCGATTCAATAATTTCGTGGGTGGCTTGACCAAACAGACGTTTAGAGGCTAGAAACAGCAGAAAGCTTGATTGTATTTAAATAGTAATGTGGTGTGGATTACTTATATCCAAATAAGTAGTGTATAACGGTGGTCAGGCATAGAATGTATTTCAGTAGAAGATCGATAAGAAAAAAACGGAAACGGAACGCAATTGGTGTGAAAATGCATGAACAATAAAATCTGAGCCAATGGATTGATATTCGCAAAACGAAACAGTGAAGTCTGAGACGATGGATTGATATTTTGCAAACTAAATATTTACTATATTAAAAACACAATTGTATGAACGAAGAATATTCTTTTCAATAATTTCTCATCAGGTTCTACAATTCATAAATCTAAATTAATAATCCATAAAATTGGCCAGATTTAAGACAGAGTACATCATTTGGAAATTGTAATATGTGAATCAGGAATTGTTTGTTATATAAATAAAATCGTTAATGTTGGGACGACTAATATGAAGTGTTAACTTGAATCAGTTTATAAGCGAAATAAAATTGTGAGATAAATTATCAGAATAAATATGGTCAACATGGGGTGAAGAGAGAGAGAGAGAGAATATTGTGATTACAAATCGGAAATTACGTATTATGTAAAATAATTAGGTCAAATATAGTAAATTCAGGGGTGGATATTGAATAAATTCCTCAAAAAGGGGTTATCAAGTTTGAAGACGATAATAGTAATAATAATAATAATAACAGTAATAATAATAATAAGTTTGGGACATAAAATTTAGATTTTAGTGAGATGCTCTGTAATCTCATGACTAATACATTCTATTGTCTCCCCTCGTGTTCTTGTTTACTACAGTAATGTCAATTCAGTAAGACAGCATGAACAACACTAAAAATTATCCATGTGCCATGACCATGATAGTTAAGTTATCTAAGAGAGAAGAAAGCACTTGAGAGAAATAGCTGAAGGTATCGAATTCATACTATTCCGAATGTCCAAATGTAGTTTTCCCTATTATAACGAGAAAACTGCTACCTTTAATTATCTGGTTCGAATCTTCAAGGTACATTATTGTAGAAGTTTAGATATTAGATACATATTGAAAAATGCAATGACTAAGTTTCTAACAACTAACGTCAACATATTACAACAGTACTTTTTGAGCAAAACAATAATCTGTTGAGGTATTTATATGAGATCAACTTAGACACATATAAATGAAATAATACATAAGGTTGGTTTAAAAATACCGTTTATTGTGTTGTGTAAAAGTGGTTTAGAAAAATTCTTTAAAAATGTTAAATTCTCAGCAATATGAAAATGCATAATAACTGAAGTATTCAAATGCAGTTTTTCAATAACGATTATTGTTTGAGTTATATGTTCCTCAATCTTATGTCCCATATTATCAAGTCTATAACCCCGTTTTTTTCTCATCTTCATATTTTAATGTTCTAAATGTATGATCAGTGTTTTCTTTGAAATGTAATAAATACGGTATAAGTTATATAATTCTCATAAATGTTGTTTTCTTGTTATATTACCATAAATGATTATCTTAATTCAGATTGAATGAGTTTTTTTCTTATTCATTTCAATCCAAATACAAAATCATTTTTTAAAAAAAGTACTCACAACCAAAAATTGTGATAAACAAAAAATAATGTCACACTCAATTTGTAATAATGTTTATGAATTCAAATGTTTAACGTCAGATAAATTAAATTACATATTTCTTTTGATGTCATAGAAATCTTAAATCTAGATTGTATATATTTGATAAAGAAGAATGTTCGAGAAAATGATAGTTTCGTTAAACAATATTAAACATAATGTACTTTATTAAATGATTAATAGTACTTTAAGGTAAATCATTAATACTTATTCAAAATAAATGAATTTAACATTCGAACAAATGTAAATTAGATTTTAGAAAGAATATGTAAAAAAGTTCTACAATAATTTCATACTTGGGTGAATAGCATAAATTATCAGTGAAATTTCAATGTTTCTCATTAATTTAAACAATTTTAGATATTTTTAATACAATAATTTAGTTAAATTTGTAATATTGGTTTATTTTATACTTTGATTCTTTGTCGAAGTTTTAGTGTCACTGAATGTAGAAAACGTTATCTTTTAGTGAGATATGATATTGACAACATAGTAATGACTAAAGTATACACCAAAAATGATTGTTCTAAAACCACTTAAAAACATCCGAAATAAGAATATCATAAGTTCATTGATAAAATTGACTAGTTATATGGACTGAAAAGAATAGATGTTAGTCAGATGTTTATTCCTGAACACCTAACTTCAGAGTGCCAAGCACTAATTTATGTGGTGGACTATCTTTCATTCTTACAAAATATAAACGTTTATCGTAGTTGTGTTGTAATCACGAATAAAGGATCCTGACAGAATGGTTTACATGATAATGTTTAGAATCACTACAAAGCTTCAATGTCTCTCGTCAGGATCAACCACGCAAAAAGAAAATGTGCGTTTACGGTGTAGCTACATTTATGAATGTGAACTGATATTGATCTAATTTTATGTGACTCCAGACAGCATATCATGTGTTTTTGTTGATGAATTCACTAAATTTGCTGTTACCGTCTTCAATGGTTCATTTTTAATTATTTGTGGTGATTTTAATTCATGTGATGCTAGCTTTTTTTCGTCACCAGGTCACCAAAATTTACTCAATGTTCCCTTTTGTTCGGATGCTCATTTGGAGTCAATTTTCATTACTGACGTGGGAATATATGTGACTCGTAAACGTTCTCCATTGCCTAGTTCTGATCATCATATTATCCGTGTTCCATTTAAAATTTATGACAATCTTAGAAAGAGTACACTCTTACAACAGACAAAGAAACTTAAATACAGTAACCACTAAATAGAAAATACCCTAAATCTGAAAAAAATATTTCGTATAACAAACTGATATTTATTTACAAATGACTTATTAGGAAACACTGCTGATGTCATCAAATATTATCCCAAATTCCGCTTTGATGCTTCTTCTCTCACTGAGACCACTTTTGTAAGTTTAGGTCGACTTGAATTTCAACAACTAAATCGATTACGGAGAGGAAAAGGAAGAATGTACACAGAGAAAAACTTTAGAAGATCATATCAGTCTTACATGTTGGTGTTGATCTGCATTGTAACATAGTGTTCAAATCGGAAAAAGGCAAGAATTATGTTTGGTGCCCATTTTTACATTATACATCTCCCTTTGGCTCTCCTACGAAACCACTACTATTAAACACGTTTGCCAGCGTCATTGCCGAATACAAAGTAACTGTGTTCTGGCCTCTCTGACGGAAAACGGTACACTGTATTTGAAGGAAAGTCCACAACGTCTTTACTAACTCAAAAAAGTGTGACACAAGGAACTGTTCTTACCTCTTTTACTTTATCTTTGTTACTGAGTGATTTGCCATCTTCTATGGAAAACACTTGCTGGGTATGATGTCATTGTATGTGAGCCAATTCCCCCATTTTTTGTCTCATATTGTACCATGGTCTGCTTTTAGTGGTCTCACACTTAATCTTTATAAATTTCAAGATATTTGTTTAAGCTTGAGACATTAGCAGCACTTAAAAACCCCGTTAGACTCCCATCACATTTGTACTACTGGCGATTCTGTAATAAAAATAGTGTAAAACTCCTTTTTCTTCATGTATGTTTTCCCATGATCTCCCTTGTTCTTCTTCCGTTCGGCTTATTATGCAAAGAAAGTGTATGCTTTTGGCACTGCTCGACATTCACTTTACCGATTGATATATTCCCACATATTAAAGCTATTATTTATTGCACACCATTATGCGCTCTCGGACTTTTAAGAAAAGATTTCTCTGTGTTCCTGATAGTGCTAAACGCGGCTAGAGGATGTATCTTGAATCTTTTAGAGTCATTATGAACAGATGTTTTAAATCTTGCAAACTCCTGGAAATTATTATCTTATTAGATATTAACGATCTACTCCATCTACATCTTTCCGCCTGTATATCTTCTACCGGAACAAGACGCCGATAGATTAGAATCTATTACCTTAATCAAATGTATGAAAACTCTACGATACCGTTTCTAGCAAATATACTATGTGATGAATAAGTTGTAAGTGCTGATTAAGTCAACAAATTGTATTCCTAAAGATATGGCTAATTAAATGTCATAAAGATCCTTATATTCTTGAAGAAATTTCATTTAAATCCGTGCAGTTTAATTAGTTATTCTATGTGTATATGTATGAAGGTTTCGATTGTATTTTCTTTTTGCAAGAGAAACTTATTAAAATAGTTTATGCTACACATTCTCTAGTGTTCTAAACACAATGTTCAATAGAGCCATCAATAATAATAATGACCGAAACTTGATTATATCACAAATTTTCATGTTTTTCATGATATTCTTCCTTAAAAGTATTCCACCTGTGAACCGTGAAACATAACTATCCTACCATAATTGTGATTATTCTTGCTAATTGTAAACTTATACAGTCTTCAATCTATAACAGTAAACTTACACTTTGTAAAAAGTAATCACGTTCTTCCATAGCTTTCAAATATTCATTTTCACTTTGTTTTGCATTAAAACGATAATCTTTAACTTTTCCATGTAAATTATGATAAGATTTTTCTAAATTTGTTGTTTTCTTTGACCAATAATCAGCTGTTGCACGTACATCACGGACTTCTGCTACAAATAATTTTAATAAACTATTGAAGAAGAAAAAGAAAACGTTTTACCTGATTAGTGTGGTTATGATAAGAATGATAAGTGCTTTATTCTACATTATAAAGTTGATTCTTAGCAAAACAATACTGTATTAATATAGAATACAATTTATTAAATTATCTCACTTGTAACTAGTCGAAAATATCCTAAAATCTTTCCTCGATCAAGTCTATGTCACTTAAAGTATGGATCTCGATTTATTCTCTTCTCATTTCAACAATAGAAAAGATGAAAGAGTATTTAATCCTATACTACTTAACATTTACGATCAGTATGAAAGTATATTTTAGGATTCACAAATATAATCATTTTGTTGTTTAAACATATATAAAGCAGAAGAGTTAATTGCAATTTCTGTAGTTTTAAAATAGTTAAATTAAGTGTTTTAACAGCTTGAAAGACAATTTTCATTCATAGATTTCATGTAGGACTACATGTTAATAAAATGAATGAAACACATAGGTAGATACATTTTCTTTTCAATAAAAACCATTTAACTGTCAGCATCATTATCGCTATCAATTTAGACAAAAATGAATCGATAACAATGATATTTAACTCCGCTTTAAAAGCTTTTTACTATTTAAAACTCAGTCACTTGAAACGAATCCAGTTTTGTATTTGATTTACTATGAAATTATGAGTATGTGATATGTAAAACCTTATTTCGAGAACAAATCAGCTTCCGGCTGAATAGGAAATTAGAAAAAGATGTTGGAAGTGGATAGGACATATATTGCGGAAATCAAACTGCATCACAATCTTGAAGGGAAACAGAAAAGAGGAAGGCCAAAGAATACACCGCGTCGAGAATCGGATGCAGATATGAAAATGATGAATAGTAACTGGGAAGAACAGTAATGGATTGTCCAGGACAGCGTTGGATAGAGAATGTCGGTGGACAGTCTATGCTACTCCGTGAGGGTGACAGGCGTAAATAAGTAAAGCCTTATTTGTTACATATTCACTTGTGGATTTATGGTGAACAGAGTGCTAATGGCATTGTTAACTGGCACTCGAAAACTTGTAAGCATTTAATCTACACTTGTATGATTAGTGAATATTGTTCCATTGTAATGAAAGTTTCAAATGACATGATAATATATAAAATAATTTATTACCAAATAAAACCTTTTTAAGTTCCATCGATTTGATGATATACAACGAAAATCATGTTAATAACCCCCAAACTATACATTTGAAATAATCTCAGTGATTTCAACCATAACAATCACAAATAATGTTCTCTCTAAATTTATTCAATTTCTGTCGAACTATTCGTTCTAATACTAACAAATATTCATATAAATTATTTCGCAATCGAATTAAATTATAAAAGAAATTATGTAACTGGAACAATCACCGAGTTTTTATTCTACGATGTTTAAGACAAAATGTCTGTCCAAAATATCTGTTGATCAAATCTCTTGACAAATCTATTCGTTTTGTCAAAGCGGTGGTCACAGCTGCGTTAACATTTTAGAGACCGTATTCACGAAGCCAATATGAATCTGCTATCACTGAGTTTAAGGATTGGTAACATTGTTGACGTCCCGTCCGTTATCAAATCGAAGGAAATAGGATCCAATGTCAACGAATTTTTTAAACGCAGGGAATAATTTATCATCAATTGTCAAAACAGCGGCAGATAAGGAAGTTTGAAAAAATGCTGAAACACTCATCAAACCACAAAGTTCCACAGACTGGAGATAAATCAAACACATCGTACATCAACAAACTGACCATTAATTTATCAGATAGAAATCTAAGTACCCATGAAATGTCTTTGCCTAAAGAAGTCTTAATTTCATTACAAATAGACCACAATTATCACCTTTCAATATTATACCTGCAATTAAAATCTCTTTACTGACGAAACAGACAATGATCTGGGGAATAAAATAGCAGCTACTTTATTAAATTAAAATCTACACAATTCTAACCTAACTAAAATAATTTATATCCAATAAAACAGCTGAGAAACGATAATGCAATTAACATTACGAGAGCAGATAAAGGTAATGTGACTGTTATTATGAACAAATCGGACTACGAGAAAAAAGCCAGGAAACATCTCAAACATGACCCATATAAATTGATTAGAGAAGCGAGACGTCGGACTAAACTTATTAAGCTTACGGCTGAAAATAGCGAAATTCTACAGTTGGTTAAGGTAAAACTCAGACCGTTATTTTGGTTCATATTATATCCGAAATGTTGTGGTCTTTGTAAGTTCTATAGACTACCAAAGATTCACAAGAATAATACTCCACTAAGACCAGTGGTTGATTTTACAAATTCGCCGAAATATAATTTAGAGAAATACATAGCCGTGATATTCAAACCATATGACTAAGTGGCTAATCATGAAATTAAAAACTTTAGTGAATTCAAGGATAGTTTTCCAAAAGGAATGTAGTGAACAGAACACGGATGGTGACAATCTAGGGCATTCATTAGGAAATTACAGAGTTACTTGGTAAAATAGAAAAACCATATAATAAACCGCTAATTTGCAAAATACCAATCTATCATATCAACCTGTACTGTTCCTGTTGCAAACATCAATCCACTGTCTCACATTTCATTGTTCTTGCGTTTTCTTACGTATTCCATTGTGTTCTCGCTCCTCCTTTATTGATTTTCCCCATCTTCTGCTGCCAGACATTACGTTTTTAACTCGCGTCATATATTACTTACATAAATATAAGTAGAACGCACCACAGAAGGACAACAGAATGTTGTCTATGAAGTTGGAAGAATATAAACAGTGTTTGAAAAATTATCCTATATCCTAAATTGATCTGGAGAGACTTGAAAAGAGGTCGGTGATGGCGTTGCATGCGTTAAAAACAGTACATAAGATGAATTTCGAATTGACTAAAATACTTCAGTAAGGTTTTGGCACACATAAAATAAGACTGACAGCAGAAGCGCTGTATTTAGGGCTAATAAGAACAGGCTGAAAAGAAAATATTGTATTCAACTAGCTACCATCTGGCAAATGTTCACTAACATGTAATTTGAACCTATCTCTATTCAACCTTTTTATTTCACATGATTCGTTATTCTGATATTTTAGCACTACAATTATTTATATGATGGTTCTCATTTTACATTCACATAGACAGTTGAAAAACAATTTCAACTCGCACTTTTACTTCATGTAAAACAAATTCACACCTAATATAAACTATCAATAACTCAAACGTACACATACATTCACAAACACAATCATTTATCCATTTCTCTTCACACTGTGAACCTTTTACATGTTTATCATTTAACTGACTCGTGTTATCCTATTTACAAAAGTCAACATCTGAATATGATTAGATAAGCACAGTAAATATGTGATTTGATTGTTAAGCTTTACGTATTCTTTGATATTTTTGATTTTGATTATTATACTGAAGAAGTCCAAGCAAGTTTGCTGGACAAAACTGTTGAATTATTTAAAGTCCAATGGATGAGATTACTTCAAATATAATTTCCATAAATAAAGGAAAAAATTAAGGTTTTGAAATTTGCAAGCAATCTGTATTTATGATTAAGTTTAAAATCTAAAGTTTGAACATCAGTTTTTGTGGCAAACTTAAGAAGATAGATTCGTTAAAAAAAGAGTTCAGTTTTAAAAATACTTTTAACAGTGGGGTCAATCGAATATGCTTAACAAAAAATTACAAGACTTGTTAATAAGATCTAACAATCATGAAGTAAATACGTAATTTGCAAAATGTCCATCGATTGTCTCATCATGACTCAGACTTCATTGTTCTTGCATTTTCATACAAACTGCATTTTGTTTCCATTCTTTACTGTTCGATCCTCTTGTCTCTCTGCTGCCAGACCTTCTGTTCACGAATAACATCATACACTATTTATGTCAATATAAGTAGCACACACCACACTCCGAACTTTGCAATTTCAAATATTTAATGAGTTTACTTTCTCTACCTATCAGGTAAACTATTGATATAGTAAGCGATTAAGTCATGACAATGAGATATGTTTAACTTCTCTATGCAAATATTTGATTACTACCGTGTTACACAGACCTATCAATTCACATTGGTACAACTAACGTTTTTATTTTGTTCTCGTTTCCTTTCTCTATTATGACTAATATTTTTTTCAAGTTAATATTCTGATAATCAGTATTTTCTATTAAATGATTGACATTATGATAATTTTCATTGTTTATCTAATTACATGTTGGCAACTAACTAATTTCATTCGTTGTATTCAAATAAATTACCAAAGATTTTTCATTGAAAATCGAATCATTTTAAATTTTTTTTCTTTCTCCTCACTTTTCTTCTTTTTTTCTTTGCTAAATAAACTTCATGCTTTTAATTTATTAAACATTTTTTATTAATTACTCATTCTATTAAGAAAAAAATATTTTTCAGTGCAAATTTATTAATGTATCTAGGTAGGTAAATATGTTTATAGGTTACATGAACAAATAAATGGTTGGTAATATGAATTTTAAACAAATAACAATATAAATGGATAATTACTAATAATAATCATTTTCATTGAATGTTACAAATACAAAATTGGTAGTTTTATTTGTTATGATTTGTAAAATTATGAATTAGTTGTATAGAAAAATGGAAGTAATGCGTATGAAACTAAAAAGAAAAAAACAATTCATGGGAATTTATACGAATATTCGTCATGATTAGAACGAATAGTTTGACAAGAATTGGGCGCCGAGTATAGAGAAGTCATTCTATGTGAAAATTATATTTGAAATAATCTCAACGATTGAAATTTAAATAATTCTAACGTTTCGTCCAGACAAGTTAGCTGGGTTTTAGTTTCAATCGCTGAGATTACTTCAAATATAATTTTTAGACATAATGAATTCATGAGAATGTTTATATAATTTCTTTTAAGAATTTTTATATGAATAGATGATAAAGAAATTTTAAAAAAGAAATTGATCATTCATATAGTTTATGAATGTGTTAAAATATTGAGTTGATGTTAATCATAATCTTAATTAAATGATTTCTAATTAAGAAATTTTAATGATTTCACCAACTATCCTCCCTTCTCCTCCACATTAACGTCACCAACTGTCGGATAGCAACAATAGATATTACTGTCTAGGTTTCTTTGGAAGTTATTTTTTTCACAGTATTATTAAAATTACTTAAATGTTTTTACATATTATTCATATACTTTATGAATGATCTATTTCTTTACCATATACGCATATAAAAATTCTTAAGAAATTATATATGCCTTTCCATGAATTGGTAATATTTATTAACACCACTTTACAAGTCACAACGAGTAAACATTCCTATTTGTATTTATAACGCCAGATGAGAAGTAATCGGGAATACTTAATTCATTTATTCTTATAAAAATTCATTATGATTAAAATATTTAGTTGATATTATGACTAAACCACTAGAAAGTTGGCTCAAACTAAGTCAATTTATTTATCCCTTTTAACATGTTTTGGCCTATTTTTCATGTGTTTACTTTTAAACGTTACTAAAGGCTAATAATTTGACTTTGCTTGTGATTGGATACAAGGAAGTTATATCTCTAGTAAGTTCTGATAGTGGTTCTCATAGTAAACATAAATACTTCATTGTAGACATTATATTTATTATAACTACACGTTCAGTAAACAACTCCGTTCCTACATTCATAACCGTGCATTACGTTTGTGTAATCATTATTAAGTGCTTTATTAACTAACAACAATAAAGCAAATAAATATATGTTATGTGATTACTTTAAAAATAGCATTGGCTCTAATAATAGTAAGAGTGAAAATAATAATAATATGGAATTTAATCATTTGTTCACATCCAAACATTACTGTATTGAATTGTTTGTTTCGAACGTTATTTGAGGATGTAACAATGATTTTATCATTTTTCATTTAAGATGAAACAGTGTAGGCAAATGTTTCAGTGTGAAAAAGCCAATTTGTAATTACTTATCGTTAAGCTATTCTATTATTCATAAGCTCATTATCAAGTGAAATAAACCTAACAGTATTACAAGGAAACATGGTAGAATTCACTTGCTATTGTGCATTAATTTTCTCTTACATGATCAACTTATTCAACATAATATTTAGTATCATTTATGTTGTATCAAGGTTTACATTTTATTCAGTGGAAAATTTGTATGTAGAAGATTTCTCAATATATTGAAGATTTCAAAACACTTGTGAAAATTCGACGAAATCTGTTAATGCTTTAAGTTATTAGATTCATTATATGCACTAACTAGTTGGATATTCTGTTGTGTCATTCAGAAATGTTTTTTCGCAAGAAAAGCTGATTATCCACAATCGCTTGTCTGTCTTAAAGGTTATAAAATCAGTTCACTGATGAAAGTTTTACCAAGAAGAAAGGATGTGGAATATATTAGAACATCTAATAGTGTATTTAAGTTAGTGTTTTTATTTAGGAATGATATTTGTTTTACCTACTGTCAATTGCTCACACAAGATTTATTTCGAATACTGGGAACAAAAAAAGAATATAGCTACTGGTTTTCCTATATCTTATAATCCATCTTTTACATATAGTTACTGTTTCCTGCATATTGTTGAATAAATTCATAGAAATGGGTTTAGAAGACTCGTTATTACAGAAACAAGCGTTTTTTATCAATGTGTAATCTCTATTCACAGAGTTTTGTTCCGTTCTGTGCATATCTATTTCACAAGTGACATCAAAAAATGCTTAAGAAAGCTATATCGAAAAGAAAGTGCCTGTGTGATGTCATAAGTGATCCCAAATGAAAACATTAACACTCTTGGAAGAGTATTATGAAAATCAATTATATGTATAAGTCCTTAAATGACAACAGCAAAGGATAAATACATAACAATTTGCAGTGTAGCTGTTAATTTTATAAGGATATTCCTCAGTAAAGTTATATTAATAGTCGTTGAATAGTTAACGTTTATAGTTACCGAGTTTTCTGATGCACATACTCAGTATGCAGTAAATCTAGATATCAGTGGTAAATACTTACATAAGAATTTAATGAAAGTCACGAAAAGGATTTAAACGTTAATTCAAATATAAAATTCGGTATATGCTTATGAGTATACTTGTCCAATAACTTATGTGCTTTGAGAATTAACGTAACTTACGTGAACGCTTTGGATGGTTTGACCATGATAACCAATAACATTACTTTCTTCTGTTCCAAGCAAGTTTATTATGTAATAAATGTACTTTAAATTTATCAGCTTAAAATTAGAAACCATTGCATTATTGGTATAGATTTTCGGCTCACATTCATAACGTTACGGATTAAAATCCCATTCCATCTATCTAAGTTTAAGACGTCATTTGCTATCACCATTGCCCATCTAAACTGAGGCTCAAAAAGTGCAAATTTTCGTATCTTAAAATTGTCATTACGATTGAACTTAATTAAAAACAAATAACAAATTTACACCGCTTTAACCAGGCAACTGCGTAACATGCAGTCTGACGTTTGATTTCAGTCATATTATATTCCTTGATCAGTAAAATAATCAGATTCATGTTTTCATATTAAAATTAAGTATTTAGACTAAGACGTTTTGAGAATATTGTATGTGTATAAACTCACTTACTTTTCAGCCTCTTTTACACAGGATTCCAATTCAGCTATTCTGCGAACCATTATTTCTTCTGTCAATTTATTACCATTTTTATTATTGATCACTTGTTCCCATTGTCTTGTTGCTCGTTCACAGCTCCGTTTAAATTCGTCTAATCTATTTAGGGTAGGTGTATTTGATGTGTGAATTACCCTAACATCTTGTGGTATACGTCGTATTTTAATAGGAACACTGATTTGTGGTCTTGATATACTTTCATAATTATTTGTTTGAGGCACATTACTCTCTGGTGCTAATTTAGTAACCGTAGATAAAACTTTATGTGATGTCAAATTACTGTGACCATTGATATTTTCATCCGATTTTTTAGGTAAATTTTCTACATGATGATGATATTGATATGAACTGCAAGAAGATGAATAACTTGGGTATTTATTTGTTACACGTGTCTTAACATAATCAGAAAAGTCCGGTGGTGATGTAGGATAACCAGCTGATGAAACAGTATCAAAGTAAGATTTGACAGACTTCTCTTTAACTTCTTCAGTTTCTGTAATGGATGATCGTATGATCTTTTTTGGTGGAGGAACATTTGTTTTGGATTTTGTATCACTTGTTGGTGTGTTGTCTGACATTGAAACAAGGAAGAATAGAATACATAGAAAATAAGTAAAAACTATTATCAAGTTATATTACCTTATCTAAAAGTTTTAAATATGAGTAAAGGATTAACGATATTCTTGCATACGTTTCACATATCTCATTTTAAAATTATTGTTCGATTTTTATCAGTTATTTATCATTTAAATATATATAATACCCACAAATATTACTCAAAGCTTTTCAAGAATTGTCCTCCGACTATGAAAAACCAATAACAGTGGATTTTTAATTGTAAATTTTGACTTTAGCTTACAAATTCATTTATAATATTAACTGCAGACCGTCATAATGAATTCATATCGGGTCTTTTTTTTGTCATCAATTTATGTCAACGCTAATACACTAACTTTAAAGTATTTAAAGTTAAGATGTGTGAAAAATGAACCTCGTCAACAGTTATGATGAAATTAATGAAGTTAAGACGCTTGTTTTTCTCTACTATTTATATGTATTTATCGTAGATTCATGCATTTTTGAAATATGCAAATTGATATAATCAGTTATTTGTAGATATTCTTAAGGAAATGATAGCCGTTTGTAAGTTTTAATTAACACTATTCGATAAATTACAACCATTTACATTGTTGTTATCGTATAGAAGCGCAGCTGAGTAATATGTCCATGTCTCAGTTATATATTTAATAGTAATTTCGTCTGTCAATGTTATGTATCAAGATTCAAGTTTTTTCTGCGGTTTAATTATTACAGTTTTCACATGAAAGTATCTAAGACAATCAACTACATAAGTGTAGTATGATAGAACTACCAACTCTATAAATCAAGTCAATATTTACATATGTATATCAATCTTTCACATAATTTACGAGTCTGATTTTTTTTAATTTAAGCATGATTTTCGACAAGTTTACTTAACTACATTAAGAAATCTAGTTTCATTATTAAATGATATATAATATAAATACTAACATGCACAATATCTGTCATATTATAAATACGCATAAAACTCTCTACATCACTTTTTCTAGTCTCCACAATAATATTGTCAAAATATATATGTAACATTTAATTTGTTATTCCATAAATCAAAGAATCATTCCAATAGTAAAAGATTTTATATTTAACAATATTGCTGAATTATATAAATATAGAACATAAAACGTTACATAGAGTTTCTTTTCTTATGAGGTTTATTATTGCCAGAAAATGACTATTGTGAAATTCTATCGAATATATTGTGATTAAAGAATAAAACCGATAAATTAGTACTTTTCATCAAAATATATGTTTACTACAAGAAACGAAATAATAATTTTGAATAGGGTAATTTATAAGTAAATTTAACGCTCATCTACTTATGAATTCCATATATATGAAACTCATTATGTTTATATTAGTCTATTTTTATTTTTATTTATACAAAAATGAAGGTTTATTTGAAAACAATCATGATGGTAGAGATTTAGTAACTCATGTTATATATATTTACGATTACAAATGAAGGATGTTACCAATTATTTAATTCATCAACATACTACGATACTAAGAAGTACAAAATTTGGTTTAGTATCGAAACTTCCAAATATATAGTCTTTAACTTGACATAATATTGAATCATGGATAGTAATAAAAAGATAAACTGACATTCAGAATGATAATACGAAACAGTACGTAGCATTATAGAATTTCATTTTCCTAGCACAGGACTCACTACTATATTATTTTACCCGACCCAGAATCTGCGAGTCACTCTGATACCGATTAATCCTTGGACTACGGAGTTGAAATTTTTAAGTTTACATCTACAAACTCAACTACTTGACTCAAACCTGTAAACTGTACAATAGTTCACATCATTAATTATATAGTTTTATACGTTCATAAGTGTTGTTATAAATTAAACCGTTACTCAACTATTTTGTGTGATACATCATACTCTTTATCGAATATATATGGCAATATACCTATTTACAGAAAAAAATAACTATCGGGTAATTTTTTATCTATCTGAAGATCTCTTCTATTGATTTTTAGGATAAATAAAATCTGATGCATAAACACTTTCTTAAAATTAGAACGACCTTTAGTTCAACCGATTCAACATGGAATTTTACTTCACAGATAAAATCATCAAAAATATTTAATTTTAGAAATGCTTTATTTTTTGGACATCGATTCAACTAGAAAGATCATGGATCTGACATATAAGATATTATACAATAAGCTATAACCATTAACAATCCGTTTTTGTCAATATTTATATTGTTAAGTAACTCTTTAAATGAATTCATTTAGAAGTTATACCATAATATCGACATTTCATCATATTTGTGTAATGTGAAGTTATACCGTTTACGTTTATTTGTTTTCTGTCAATATTATTTAAATAAACCTGTCAGTAATATCTTATTATGAACTTATTAGATGTGGATAAGAGCTTTCTTTGTATTAAACCGAAATGCTTTCTGTAATCTCCCTATAAAAGCTACTGGGAATTTCTGTCGTTATCCATTTTGACAACTCATTAAATTTCCAATTGATTTGCTACTGAGTAGTGATTAATATAATGTTAGTCAAGTCATTATTAGTAGTGGCTAGGTTCTGTAAATCAGTTATAAATGTGACTAACACACTAAGTAACTCGAAATTGCGTGTACCATGTTGTGATGGTCGTTAGGAAACACAGAATATCCTGTTTTGGGTCAATTAAACTAAAGTCTATGTTGTAAGTTGATCGATTGGATCTGATCAGCATTTAAAAGTAATTGGTGAGCATGCTATTTGTTATTGGTTGATATTCAACCATTTTTAAATGCATTTCATTGCTACAGGAGGTCAGTAGAGTCCCAAACAACTCAGTAGTAACATCTTTGAATGTAAAACTGAATAGCTCAGATTCAAACCCATGGAAGAACACTTTACCTCTAGTTTTGCAGGTGCACTCTGCTCAAGAACGTCAAAAAGCATAAAACCTACGGCAAGAAGTCCCTCTTGACTACATCAAACTATGTAATATCACCCGAGTTCTTACTATCACTTAATTATGAACGATTGGTAGCCAACTTTGCCTCGTGACGGTGACCATATAGTTAAGTTTCCTTCGAAAAACAATTGGCGATTATTAGGAACAGTACTTATGAACTAATCTTAAGAAGAAATTTATGAACGTATTTATAAAATGTCTTTCTAATTGATATTATTTTCCATAATAGTTTATTTCTAGAGAAACTTATAAATTGTGAGATTAATACAACCACTGTCATTTGTATATTATCATTCACTACAGTTAATATCCCCTGGTACTACATGAATTCATCCACTAAAAAGTTATTGCTGTTACGAACGAAATCTTAATTCACCTATGAAGTAAGTATATTGTAATTACGATTGTTTCATTCGGTAGCATATACTTCATCACAGTAAAAAAAATTCTAAACACATTAAACGTAATATCTCTACGAATTCCATCTTAAATTTAGTTTTGAACACTTGAATAAGTGTTTCTTTCATTAAATCTTTTGTACCATTCATCCTTAATCCTAAAAGTATTCAAAAAGCTATGCATCGAACTAGTACTACTCAACTTACGATTTCATATATATGTATCAAAATACAGAAAAGAATGAAAATTTAATAGTCACCATAGTATCCTAATGTAATTTTTAGGGTGACATATGTAACTACTTCATTAAAATAAATCTCAAGTAAACAAACATATCACAATCTTTTTATAGCTGAAAAACATAGATGACTCAGATTTTTGAGTTATCAATAGTATAAAAGTCGAGCAACAATAATATAGTGTTTCACCTAATACATATATATATATATATATATATATATATATATATATATATATATATATATATATAAACGTTGTTATTAATAATAAGGTAACAAGATATGACTGACACGTTTAACGATAAGTCAAAAAAATGTATGAAATTCTTTGAAAACCAAAGGCAAATTACTGAAATCATAAATTTTCTAAACCAAGATGAATTATTATTCATTGTAATCATTTTATTTGATATAGAATGCTTAATTTCGATAAAAAAAAATCTACCAACAGATGATATGTTATCTTGGAAACTGTTATTTGTGTGATAGATGTTTACATGTTAACCATTCAACAAATATGTGTTAAACAGTTTAGTTACCGTGATTCAGTTACTTTAGATTAGTTCTGTCCCTAAAACTCTTTTCCCTCAGAATTCACTAAATAAAAATAATACTATTTGCAGCATTGGTGATAAAATTAATAACCAGTATGGAATATATTTTTCAATTTTTCAGTTCTTAACAGTCTGTAAAACGTTTTTTGAATGCATATCAATGCATCAGGGCAACATAGCTAAATGTGCGATTTCCTTGTAATCTTTGTACAGTTGAAAAAAAACTATATACACAATTTAAAGACTGTGATAAAGAGAATGACAATGGAAAAGCTAATCTACCGAGTAAAAATTAATATGTAGAGTCAGAGGTTTTCATATTGCATACATCACCTTCGATATAGAACTAACAATAGGCCATACAAAAAATACTTAAGCATAAACCATTATTTACAAAACCTATTTGTGGTTAAGTAAGTGGATTTGCACATTTTTTCATCTTGAATGACTTATCCTATTCTAAAAACGTCATCAATATGGATTTTTAACTTCATGTAGACCAAGTAGTCACTTTTCTAACCTTTATTGTATAAGACATTCGTTGTATAAAGTATTATAAAACAATAACTCAATTAATTCGTTCAAAAATCAACTTCGTTTAATAATCACTAATAGACTGTATCCGCAACTCAAAAACAACATTTAGGTAGAAAAAACTTTTTATGTACATGAACTGTTGGCATTTATTCATTATTTATTTATTTGAACATATAAATATTGGTATAAAGGGGCACCACATACATATACGCCGCACAATTCGCTTGTGGGCTGTGATACTGCCCCAGTAACCCGACTGAAACAGGTGATTTCCTAAGGAGGATGCACCCGGAGC